TCTTTCCCTCCTCGGACGCGTGTGATGTGACCGGAAATGGGCGATCTACTCCTCAAACAGAAACCACCCCGCCAGCCCCAATGGCAGAGCACGGAGATGCTGACCAGGAAACCCTTCCCACCCTCGTACCAAAACCACCGCCAGAGTCAGAGGGCCTCCTTCAACTACCACCCCAACGAGCCCCCTAGGTGGCGCGAAGGGACCTACTACTCCACCCCCGTGTACAGCTTCCCCCCCAAGTCCAAAGATCACTACTTCCTCACCCCCTATTACAGGAACGTGATGCCTCCACCTCCCAACCCCAACAGACTGCTGATGGTAGATCCCAGGAGGAGGTTGAGCGTGGCCGGAGGACCGTCGCCTTGTCAGTGCAGGTCGAAGTCTATGGAGGACGTAAGGACGGATGTAGTGGAAGTCAATGGGAACCACTGGGAAGATGACATCAATGGGAATCATGTCGCCAGAGGCAATAATAAGTTCAATCAGTATAATAATAGGAGGTCCATGGAAAATCTGCTGGTGGATACTGGGTACTCGCCTAACAGTAAAAGGTCGGGAAAGTTGAAGGTTAGAATTTCTTCTTACGGAAGTTGAAAACTACAAAAATATGAGTAAATCCTTGAAGGAGATCTCTTAGATCGTTTTAGATAATTACTATGAGAGGAATCAGCCCTAAAAGTTTGCGGTCGTCACATCGTTCTATATTTGTCAGAATATACCTTACTTTACTTTGCAAATACCAAATCAGACTAATCAGTTGTTCATAATCATTTATTTTATTGTCTTGGAAAAGCAAATGTTTTTATCAATTCTGAGTTATATTATTTAGATACTAGGTTACCATTTACATATATCTGTCTACTTTGTAAGTACATTCGTCATAATTACATAGCAATCAGCTGCGGCAGCTGGCATTCGTGGATTGCTGGGCGATTGCCGCAAAAACTAATTGCCAGAAACGCGTGCTTGCCCGTTCCCAGTCGTATTTTCTACTGTTTTCGTTGCATATTTATGTCTCGGCGATATTTCGAATGCCTGGCAAATCCGTCACGGTTTCGTTAAATGAAAAAAAAAGAAACCAACGTTTTTAAATTCGCTTTCTAGTACAGACATTTCTCTACGTCGAAGAAAGGAATCCTATTTGCCTTTTAAAGCGACGTACGGTCGGCCGAATAAGCAAAGGAATTTCGTTAAAATGGAAATTACTTTTACCCAGTTTAACCAAATTGTATGTGTATAATTTTCAATGTGTTCGCGAACGTTTGAAGCAACTTGGTGAGAGTCTGCACGGTGCTTTAAGGAAAAAATATCTTTGTCTTTGCAATGGAAACATTTTAAGTTTTTTTTAACATGGCAGATTTATTTGAGATTTATTAAAATCAAGTAGTATTTTCTTTTCCTGTATCGCGCTCTACTTAATCATTATGGTATAAATGAGGGCCGTGATTGTTACAAATTACCCGTCAGACACATAATAAGTGAAATAATAGTAATTAAAGCCGTCAATATCGTTAGCGTTGGTAAATGAAGTTTGAATTTGATGTCTCTACAAACAAAAAGATTTTGTAATACAAAATTTTTTATTCTACTAAGCACAAAATCAGGTGGATCTTGCGATGTTGCGTAAACTAATTTCGCACTTGCAACAATTTGTTTCATTTTTAAATCATTATTGACATTTCTTCTAACATTAATGTCGCAAATTTCTCCGACATTCGAACAGGCGCAGAACTAAAAGTAGATATCGTACCTATTAGCAGCAATATAAATGATCAGTTCCGCATTTTGGAAAAAACAGCTGCAAGCCGCCATCGTCTGGCTATAAACACAATATAGCATCATTTAATCGCTTCCAAACGTATTTTATGGCTATATTGGATAAGTAAACTTTCACAAACCGCGACAGTCTGCTCAGACTAGAAAAATAAATAGTTGAGTAATTAACAGCGAGTTTTTTTGTAGCCTCCACTTGTTTTTATCTCAGTGATAATGCAAAGAGTTATTTGAACAAAAAGATGTCCCATATTCGAAAAGTTCGATGCGGCACTTGAGAACTACGCCAAAGAGCAATCGCTGTTGGTATTTCGACGGACTTGACCTTAATAACCTAAATGTGGAGTATCCCGCAAAAAAGCTGTTGCGAGAAAGTAATTCCAATTTTTATTTAAAAATTGCACATGTGACTAACAAAAGTTGATAACGCATTGCTGACTTAAACTTCAACATTTTTTTGTAGCCATTATCCTCAATCGATATCAGATGTAACCATGCTAAAACCTGTCGTGCTTATTTAAAAGAATTCTCTTTTGACTCAATTGATTTAATATATCTTACTGCGGGCGACCTTTGGTTTTTTAACTTTCCTTTTAATTGTCTTTCGAATAACAACCGCAATTACTAGCAGACCGCAACGGCACAGCTTTGTTTATTTCCAGTATCAAATGATAAGATATGCAAATGGTAGGTTTTCTCCTCGAGCTCCACGACAATCTACTGCGGAAAAACTGGCATTGGATTTAATTTATACTTGATTGGTCTCACGTATCTCGCGGCTGAATAGTGTTAAATTGTTTATAATACATAATTATCGGAGTTTATTGTATGTAAATAAATATCATTGGGAACGGTGCACATTTTATGTTCGCTGTAAATAGTTTTAATTGGTAACGATTAATTTATTATTTTATCGCTCGCTGCACACTAGATGTATTTTTAATAATAACAACGGGAAACAATATTCTTATTGGAGGAGACATCATTTATTTGTACTTTCTATTTTTGTAATAGTTTCAAATTTATTCAAAGAGTTGTTGGAATTGTTTATTGATTCTCTGTAATTATTTTTAAAGTAAATAGTAATAAGATTATGGAAGGAACTTTGCTTGAAATAATACAGTAAAACAACTTGGTCAACAATAAAAGATAATTACGTATCTCGATAATATTTATTTTAAGATTTCTACTTTTGGTACTTTAATCATACTATTTATTCTTTCAAAAATGTTTAATACTATCGTTATAGACTTGAGAACGAAACGAAACGAATTGTATCGCAATAAATAACAGACATTTGCAATTATTAACATATGTAAATGTCTCGGCAGTTATAATAAACGGTTAGTAATAGAACTGAATAGGAAAAATAATTACAGAAACGACTTAATAATAATGTAATTATCACGAACTGTCAGAATTATCGTTTAATGGAAAGTAAAAGTTAATATTATTTCCTCATCACAAAAAAAAGCAGCAGCTCTCGCTATCTTTAAATTATATCTATTAGTGAGACTGCGATATATAATATTTTCACAACGCATTTATATCTAAGAACACGACGTTTATGACAGTAATATCTTAAGACAGTAAAGAGAAATCTTTAAGGATGACAACACGCAATGCTAGTCATATTCATTGTCCTTAAAAATGGAAGGAATTAAAAATATCAGTGTAAGTTTTGGAAACTCGTTTTTAAAGCAAAGGTTTTTCTAAAATATAGTGCCAAACTGAACATAGGAAATGGAACTTTAAATGAAAAGTTACAGGGTGATAAAAAAACTTATTGAAATTATTCCAAAATAGCTAATCAGATCCAAAATAAACTGAGTGTAATGAGTCTTTAGGTTATCGATTACATTCATGTCTTGGAGGAACAGTTTTTTCCTTCATACATAGTAGCACAGATACAGGAGCAATCTTTTTCGATGAGAAAAATCCTCAAAAAACGTATTAAGAAATACAAAAAGGTTTTCTTGTTTAATATCAACATTCCACGCCATTTTTTATAAAATCACTTTGACACCATGTGGAATACAAAGAGTTATGTACTTTTACTTGACTGAGAGGTATTAAATTGATCTAAATCAAATTTTTAGACTTGATTTGAATCGACTTAAGTATTACGAAAAGATTATCATCAAAGCTGGCTATGTCTGAACCTATACAATTGACGGATTAGCAGATACATTCAGCAAATCTAACTGTTGGCTTTCTCTGGTCTCGTCGCGACATATGCCCGGCACACAGCTTGTCAACTTTGATGTATGAAGGATGGATAATATGGAGCATGCTCTAGAGTTGCATTTCTGCGTGTGATTGACACGGATATTTCTGTGTCGTTGAACAATCACGATGAGACTCTTGTCCTAAATTGCCTTTTCCATGTCTGTCCATGGAAGAACGCGATTATTGAAATGTAGCTGGTAGGCTTAGAAAGAAAGTAACAGATTCCCGTCAGTTGTTTGTGTTGAAAACTACTTCTACAAAATTTAAGTGTTCAAAAGTGTGGTAAAAATATATGAAATTCGTAGATCATTCTTTTTTTTTTTAAGAACCTATAAACCCACTGAATTTACGAAGCCGTAATTTTCTTGTACATACAATACCCAGCTTCGGTATTGGGTCAGTGTGTTTATTTAAACAAATTCAATTATATTTTTTCGGTTACTTAACACGACCCTGTCATTATTACTGACCTGACCCCGTGGAGAAGATATAAAACAGTGACAATACTCGTCTAAGGATGTGGTTATTATAATCCTGTTAATCGTACCATGAATTTAATATATCCATTAACGCCTACCGATTTTACGGTTATATTTTATTAATATCCAACATATTTTAATAAAATCCAAAGAATATCTGTTCAATATTAAACTATGTTAATCATATATTTTCACTCCTGACTGTCGTCATATCTATGCCGTAGGTTTTTTTAATTTCACCTTCAAATTCATGTTGTAAAAGGTCTATCGCTATGCAGATTCGTCGCGAATTAATAATATTGATAAGATATGTGACGACGGATTAATAGAAATCGATTTTCTGTGGAGTATCAATAAAAATATTTTGCTACGAATTGAGAAAGTATCAATATTTAATCGCGATAAAATAACTCTTTTGACAAATTTTATGAGCAGCAGCTTTTGATGATCTTCAACCTAAGCATCAGAAAATGTTTGCGTTTGATTTGCGTCCCAATATAATGGGATATATTTTTTTAGACCACCCCAAGAAACGCTAACGACGTAGACAACGGCGAGGGTAGTGGAAACCGCCCCAAATTCGTCGCCGTCACGTCCCTGGAGGATGTCCAAGCAGTCAGATGCGCCGAATTTCACCCAGGCGGACAACTTTACGCCGTGGGTTCCAATTCCAAGACGCTCAGAATATGCGCATACCCAAAACTCACCGACCTCAGGTAAGACATCCAGTGATGGTTATTCAAGATGTATTTCCACTTCATGAAAATTAATTTATAGTTGTACAAAAACACCACCCATTTCAATTTCCAGGGAAGACCATCAGACCTACCAGCCCATGGTCCTCTTCAAGAGGACGAAGCACCACAAGGGCTCCATCTACTGCCTCGCCTGGTCGCCAGTAGGCGACCTTATGGCCACCGGTTCGAACGACAAGACGGTTAAACTGATGAGATTCAACTCCGACACGTCGAACCTGGAGGGCGAAGAGATAGAGCTCACCATGCACGACGGCACGATCAGGGACCTGTGCTTCCTCGAGGATACCACGAACAAATCCAGCCTTCTGATCAGCGGTGGCGCTGGCGATTGTAAGATATACGTCACGGACTGCGCCACCGGGACCCCCTTCCAAGCTCTCAGCGGGCACACAGGTGAGAAATTTGTCCCTTTGCAGTGTTGTCGCTACTAGACTAAGTAATTTTTTTAAGTAGTAGTGCACATGCGGCAAAAATTGTTTCAAAATTGATAAAAGAAGTACGAATTAAGTATATTTTTTATAGATATGCTCCCATTAGTGTATTTCGAATCCTAATAATTTGTCAACAGGTCACATTTTGTCGTTGTACACCTGGGGAGGTGCAATGTTCGTCAGCGGCTCCCACGACAAGACCGTCCGCTTCTGGGACCTGAGGACGAGAGGCTGCGTGAATATGGTTACTCCAGTAACTGTCCCCGGCACCAGGCAGGGCTCCCCCGTGGCCAGCCTCTGCGTAGACCCCTCGGGCAGACTCCTGGTCTCCGGACACGAGGACAGCTCCTGCGTCTTGTACGACATAAGGGGTGGGAGGAACGTGCAATGCTTCAAGCCACATTCCGCCGACGTGAGGTCCATCAGGTTCTCGCCATCGGCGTATTATTTGCTCTCGGCGGGATACGACAATAAATTGGTACTTACCGATTTGCAAGGTAAGTTGAAGGTTGATATTTACCTCTTTAACCGTTGCAAAGAAGATTGACAGTGGAATATCACGATTTCCGGGTGATAGACGCCTCTAGGGTGCCTCAAGGATCGATCTTTGGACCGCTTTATATCTAATTTTCATAAATGACATCTCCTTGATGATGATGAGTGATCTCTGAAGTCTGTCTGTTTGTGGTAGACATTAATGACTTTATTTTAGTTTCAAAGAAGCTTCCGGTTGGTGTTCTACACATTTGCCACCTCCTAATTTCGCGCTTGTATGGGATCGTAGTTATTTATCAGCCCCATGTTGAAAAAAAATAATAAATAGTGTTAGATGCTACGATTCAATCGATCAATCGCCGATTTACGTATCGATAATCTAGTGGGAATCTATTTTACATTAAAATTATTCTTTTTGCAATAAACACTTACATTTTCGTCCACGACAGATAAAGAGAAGCCCTGATAGAGCAAAGTCGATGCGCGGGTAACCTTAAAATTATTTGTTCCGACGAAAGTTTCGAAATAACACGATTAGAAACGTGTAAATCAGAAAAATAACTGCGGCCGCCGCTCTTGTAGTTCGGGGTTCTCCCGCTAGATGGTGTTACGTAACTTCTTTTGAGTCAGTCTGTCAAGTGACGTCGCTTGAGACGGTTGTAACGAGCCCTTGAGACAGTTTCATTGAAATATCTGGTCCTTTGTGGAGCTTAATGTAACGCCGAACAGAAAACAAATTTCTATGCCGCACGCTATTCTCGAATATCAACCATTTAAAAAATGGAGAACTATTTCTACAGTCGTCGGGGACCTCGCTACAACCGCCTCAAGCGACGTCACTTGGTAGACTGACTCAGGACTCAAGAGGTTATGTAACATCCATCTAGCGAGAGAAACCCGAAGTACAAGAGCGGCGCGCGCAGCGTATTTCGTCAGGTTATTGAAAGTGAATCGGTTTCTTGAAAAATGGAACGCAACACTGGAAAAATTGCTGTCCCCATTGGATTCGGACCAATTCTTAACTGAATACCAAATTTGGCCCCCATTCACAGAATTATATGGATGTCTTTCACGAAATGTTCATGTATATTAAGAAAAAAATTATTACCGCTACAGGAATTGTGTACATTCGCATGTATCTTTGTATTTTTATACTTTACAGAAATTTCTGGACGTGGTTGGCTTGGCTGTCGGTTGGTGTATCCAAGTAAACACATTTTTTTTCCATTTTTGCAGGTGACTTGACCCTGCCACTGCCGAGCGTGGTGGTGGCTCAGCACCAGGACAAGGTAATCTCGGGACGTTGGCACCCCTCGGAGTTCTCCTTCCTGTCCACCTCGGCCGACAAAACCGCAACCCTCTGGGCCCTGCCGCCAATCTAACCCTTTCCGATTAAAATCAATTTGTTAATCAATAAGTCTGAACTAACCAATACTCATTTTTAAATAAAAAATATTTACGTTGCACATGAGTAATGTTTAGAGGTACTTTACGTTCTACCTTTATTAAAAACAAAAAAAAAACGGCGGGGGTCCGCGAGAGGGTCTCTAGGCTTGGAACTCATCGTTAGCTCTCGTAACGACTAGAATCTCTGCACAAGACGTCTCTTGAAAAAATTTTACGAGTCTGTTTGTCTCTTTTGCCTTGTTAGCGTTATTTATGAATTACATTATTAAAATTTACTATTATACTGTAATGTAATAACTGTATATATACCCTAAACTTATTTTTGAAGCTTTTGTATAAAAATTAAACTATTAATGTACGCGTTATTTATGTTATGTCAGTGTTATGAAAAGTGACTATAATATACGATGAGATAATTATGTTGTACTTTAAATCTGTTAAGTTACGTGACTTTTTAATAATTTCACAATAAATTATAGAATGGAAGCGTTCGTTTTATTCCAGTCCCCAACAGCACCAAAAATAAAGCTTTTTCGATAAAAAAATGTAATAAAACTATAAAGATTCACTTAGTTTCAAGAAGAAACAACTATACTCATTCCCAACACGTGCGATGCGTGTTGGAAATGCGGTTCCATAGGCATACCATTTTAGAGGTTCAAAAAATTGTTATGTCAATTTTAGTATAGGCAGGTAAGTAAATACTTTTATTTACACTTAGAGCTTGTATTGAGCAATTCCGCCCATAATTACTCATATTTCTTCTGCTTTTATCATGGGAGGTAACCGGCGTTTTCGCTAAATGCGGCTATCCTAATTACACAGGTCATTCTAGGATTTTTGGGGTCGCTGATTACGATGAGGGGGTCGGTTAGGCTCCATCACGTCAAGTTCAAGGTCAAACTGTCAAATAACCTTTCAAAAATCTAGAAAAATTCATGGACATGTTTTTGAGGTGGCTGAATCCGAATCCGGCGTTTATATTTACTTGGCATGCATCCTCGAAGTCATTCAAGGTCATTTGAGGAGTTTTTGAGAAAAAATGCCAAGTACCATCCAAGAAATCTGAAAAAATTCATACGTACGTTTTCGAGGTCCCTGAATCTGAATCTGAGATCAGTCTATCTCATTTCAAGGCCATTTGAAGGTCAAACGGTCAAAAAACCTTCCAAAAATCTAAAAAATTCATGACATGTTTTTGAGGTGGCTGAATCCGAATCCGGTGTTTATTTTTACTTTGCATGCATCCTCGAGGTCATTCAAGGTCATTTGAGGGGTTTTTAAGAAAAAATGCTAAGTACCATCCGAAAAATCTGAAAAAATTCATACGTATGTGTTCGAGGACCCTGAATCTGAATCTGAGGTCAGTCAACCTCATTTCAAGGTCATTTGAAGGTCAAACGGTCAAAAAACCTTCCAAAAATCTGAAAAAATTCATGGACATGTTTTAGAGGTGGTTGAATCCGAATCCGGTGTTTATTTTAACTTTGCATGCATCCTCGAGGTCATTCAAGGTCATTTGAGAGGTTTTTGAGAAAAAATGCCAAGTACCATCCAAAAAATCTGAAAAAATTCATACATTCGTACGTTTTCGAGGACCCTGAAACTGAATCTGAGATCAGTCAACCTCATTTCAAGTTCATTTGAAGGTCAAAACGGTCAAAAAAACCTTCCAAAAATCTGCGAAAATTCATGGACATGTTTTTAAGGTGGCGTGTTTATTTTTACTTTGCACGCATCCTCGAAGTCATTTAAGGTCATCTCAAGGTCATTTGAGGGGTTTTTGAGAAAAAATGCCAAGTACCATCCGAAATATCTGAAAAAATTCATACGTGTGTTTTCGACGACCCTGAATCTGAATCTGCACAATTGTGCCACAGAACTAGAATACCTGCCTTGAGATGACCTTGAATGACCTCGAGGATGCATGCAAAGTAAAAATAAACACCGGATTCAGATTCAGCCACCCCAAAAAGATGTCCGTGAATTTTTTCAGATTTTTGGAGTTTTTTGACCGTCTGACCTTCAAATGACCTTGAACTTGACGTGATGGAGCCTAATCGACCCGCTCATCGTAATCAGCGACCCCAAAAACTCTTGGATACCATCTTCGATTCCCGTGCACAAGCCTAGATAGAATGTTGACCTGTGTTATCGTATTGACACCCACCTACAATTCCATTCCAAACACTTATTGGAATAACTAAAATAATAACACGCCTTTGCCACTTGTACGCCTATGACACGCATCGACACGCCTCAATTAGAGATTGACATTACAGTGCAATACATCTGTAAGGACGTAAATTTTTTTATAACTAGGTTTTATGGGGATAAAGAATTGTAATCTTGAGCAAGTCAATTATAATAAAATGGCAGGATTATTCCTGTTCTATGGGTGCGTGAATTCTCTGCATTTGGAAAACCGTTACAGTCAAATAAAATTAAAAACTGTTTCACTAATAGAAATACTGCAATAATCGACGTTCTGTCTACAAATTGGCTTATATCCAGAGGTCTCTATAGCAAATAGCCACCAGCAATATATTTTTATAGATTCTATTACACATATGCGGCTTGTTAAAAAATTTCTTTACACCAAAAAATGATTTGAGATTCAAACCAAGTCAATTTTATAGAAAATCTACGTTAAAATGGGTGAAAGTCTTATTTGTGCATTAATTCATCATATTTAGACAAACTGTGTAATAAAATCTATAAAATTGTAATGTTGGTTGCCTATTTGCTTATAAAGCCCTCTTAAATCATGTTTCACATATCTCACATACTTTAATACGTAGGCAACCGTATATACCGCACATACTTTACATACATAGAAGTATGTGATATACCGCACATACTTCTATCCTATACTAATCATTTTGCGATTGACTTGAAGCCGAAAAGTGGGGCGACGGACCAGCGTATTCATACGCATGCGCTTCCTTTATGGGTTTTGATTGGTTGAAAGGAACCAAGAACGGTAAACAGTAAGAAAGCCAAGCTAACCTAAAAATATTCTCATTATGTTTTGTGTTGATGTGTTGTGTTAGTCCTTTGGTGTATTTTCTCTAATAATTGCGACTATTATCCTGTATATATTTTAACCAAAAACTTTATTAAACTTTGTTTGTTGTTAGTTATTAGTATTAGAGATATGGGTAGACTTTGTGCCTTATGTCGTTCAAAGAAAAGCGAAGAAATTTAGCTCCACGGGTAAGTACATTATATTTTTATTATTATTCAATATTGTACACTGAACTGGTTTATTATGCAAAAATCGATATATATGTTTGATAGATATTATATTTATGCGTACTTTTATAGTATATATTCATGGGTATTGTATTGCTTAAGCCATGCTCTTGTAATTAAATTTTCGTTCTTTTGACAAATTACTGAAATGCTGTCGATAAAAATACATTGTTAGGTAGTTCAGCAACTTTCAGCAGTTAGTGTTTGTATTTTATTTTTGTACCTACCTTAAAGAAAACTTTTTCTTTAGATTTCCTACAAATAAGGAAATGGAAGCCAAGTGGAAACTAGCTTGTGGATTTGAAAAATCTGATTGTGTTAAAACCATTGTCATTTGCTCAAACCACTTTAAGGTGGAAGACTATTATACTAGATTTATTGGGTCATATGATAAAAGGAAGTTAAAACCTAACGCTGTACCATCCGTGAATGTTCCGCATAAGGAAAATATTTCTCCAAATGTCCAACAGTTATCAGGTAACCTATATACGTACTAAATATTTATCCAATAGCTAATATATTTTTAATTTTAAGTAACATTTATGCAGGTTCTAAATAAATATAATAAAATTCAGGGCATTACTCCTCAATGAAAATTAATAGGAGTTTTTCATATGAAGAATTCTACGGATCCCTGTGAAAAACGTTTCTCAATTTTCAAAGAGAAATTACCCCTGAATGTTTTTGCATCACAAAGTTACTTTTTAATCTAAAAAATAGGAATAAAGTACCTAATATGTCAATGGAACACAGTTTTTGTAACTTATTTATTTCCTATATTTATGTACAGGGTGGCTGATTTTCGAGCCTCATTGCGATCTTGGAAACAATAAGAGATACAAGCTAGATTAGTTAAATTATGGCAAAGTTGCGCAATCTGATAGTTGTCAAGATGCTATGTTGAACTTTGTAAAATTCTGAAAACTTTCAGAAATATCTGAAAAAAAAACGAATTTTCATAAAATCTTTTACTTTTTTCGACATTATTTGAAAACAAATTACACTTCTGTCTAAATTCTTCTAAATTTTATATTCAGTTTAAATTAAACATGCTTTTTATTACAGCAGTGGAAAAGAAAAACGAGAGCGATGAATTTAGTGAAGTCCCTTCAAAAAAACTTAAGATGGATCGGATGACAAAGAACGAATCAATGGAAAGGATTGTATCATCTCAACCTAAGTTTACTGAATTACCCTCAACTTCTGCCTTAGAAAGTGATCCATTGTCAGGTGAAGATGTTATTGTTTCTACCCCTAGAAAAAATCAGAGAATCGGAAGATCAAGCCCAGATGTAGCAACACCAAGACGTGCTAAGAGAGCTCTCTACCAGTCCCGATATGTTCAAGGTCAACTTCGGTATAGGATTAAAAAATTGCAGCAAGATAAAAGACGACTTGTAAAGAAGATATCGACATTGAAGGAACTTGTAGAAAAATTAAAATCTAATAAGTGAAAATTGTGGCGATATATTAATGGTAAAGTTATAATGGTTATAGTTGGTTAATATTAGAAGATGGGTTGGAACCTTCGGTGTAGACACTATCGGAGATGAGTTCTCCACACACCGAAACGAGGTACTTTTACTGAACATCAAATTTAATCATCCTTGTATGATGTTACCTTGGTTAGAAAAACGTATCGGGAAAAGTACCACCCTTGGTGTGTGGCAAACTCATCCCTGGTAATGCTATACTTGTACAGGGTGTCTCAGATTTTAGTCAAGAAAATTTGACGAGCAATAGAACTTACAAAAACTTATATGAACTTGTATATTTTAAAGCTTCGTTTTCAAGATACAAATTGTTAAAATTAACAAAAAAAAATCCTTCAAATACCCCAAAAACCATCTGGCTGATTATGGTAAAATTCCATTTTTTTTAGTGATAAGTAGATATCTTTATCTGATGTGATTAGACTTTACTCATTTACCAAAAATATTTTTTGGTAAATTTTACACCCTCTATCTTGAAAGTAAAACTGAGAAACCTGTAAATTCATATGAACTTTTCCTTTTATTTTTACAAGTTCTATTACCAGTTATATTTTCCCGATTACAATCTGAGATACTATACTTTTTTTAATATTCCATAAATAGGTGGGAAGCAATATTTATGGTCCATGAATATGAAACCATATTTTCAATTCATGTTCTTTCATTATAACAAAACAACAAAAATAAAACAATTAAGTCAATTATAATTAGATATTGTATTGTTGTTTCGTTGCATCG